TTTCATATAAAAAGGTATTCACTGTCCTTAGGAGAGTGAAAGGGTGAGCCTCACTCTGTTGAAAAGTTTTTGTCAGGTTCATGTAAATGAAGAACATCTCGCCTTGGGAGAAAAGTCACCATCACAGAGATGAGTAGAATAGATCGGCAGGAAACTGATGTATTTTCAGTACAGTGATACAAAGGCCTGAAGGTTGCTTGGTGGCAGAGATGTGGCCCAGACATTTCCGTGATTCCAACAAAATCTGTGGCTGTTTAAATTTGGGTCACAGGTAGATGACATTTAAAAATATTTTTTTTTTTTTGACAGGCAGAGTGGACAGTGAGAGAGAGAGAGAGACAGACAGAGAGAAAGGTCTTCCTTTACCACTGGTTCACCCCACAATGGCCGCTGCGGCCAGTGCACCGCGCTGATCTGAAGCCAGGAGCCAGGTGCTTCTCCTGGTCTCCCATGTGGGTGCAGGGCCCAAGGACCTGGGCCATCCTCCACTGCCCTCCCGGGCCACAGCAGAAAGCTGGACTTGGAAGAGGCGCAACCAAGACAGAATCCGGCGCCCCGACCGGGACTAAAACCTGGGTGCCGGTGCCACAGGCGGAGGATTAGCCTATCGAGCCGTGGCGCCAGCCTAAAAATATTTTTATTTATTTCTTTACTAGTTTCACTTTACTTGAGAGGCAGAGACAGAAACAGATACAGAGAGATCTTCCATCTGCTGGTTCTCTTCCCAAACACCAGCAACAGTCCGGGCTGGGCTAGACTGAAGCCAGAAGCCTGGAGCTCAACGTGGCTTTCTTATATATGTGACAGGGACCCAAGCATATCATGTATCATCTGCTGCCTCCTAGGCATGTATCAGCAAGAAGCTGGAACTGGAAGTTGTGGGGAGCAACTCGGACTGTACTGTTACTGGAATTAAGACTTATTCTATGCATCTGCTCTCCCACAATATGGCGCTGGGAGAGAAGAAAACAGCTTCTACACAGCTGCCTCCAGTTCAGCCAATAAACTGTAGGACTTGCTCCTGATTGGAGGAGAGCAGCGTGCTCGGCGTGTGGGCAGCCGAGTTGGGATTGGCGGAGGAGGACTATATAGGAGGAGAGAGACGGCATGGTGGTGTGGGTTGGTTGGAGAGTGCGTTGGAGAGTTCGCGGGGAAGTTCGTTACTTCGTTCTTTCTCATTTCTCTCTACTCATTCTTGCTTTGGGAGTTTGCTGTTTACTTATTCTTACTTTACTATAGAAAGGACTTGTAAAAAAAGGGAACAACAAGCGCCCGGTCCGGTGCGGCTCCTCCGCGTGCGGAGGAGCAGCAAATGGTGCTGTGACTCGGATATGAAGCCTAGGCAGGGCTTAGTGTCGTTCCTCCACGAAGACGGGGAACGACATAATGGTGCCGTGACTCGGGTATGAAGCCTAGGCAGGGTTTAGTGTCGTTCCTCCATGAAGAGGGGGAGCGACATAATGGTGCCGTGACTCGGATATGAAGCCTAGGCAGGGCTTAGTGTCGTTCCTCCACGAAGACGGGGAACGACAGAAGTAGAGCAAGGATTTGAACCCATACTCTGATATGAGATGTAGGTACCCCAAGTGGTGTGTTTTTTCTTTTTAAGATTTTATTTATTTATTTGAGAGGTAGAGTTACAGACAGTGAGAGGGAGAAAGGTCTTCCCTCTGTTGGTTCACTCCCCAAATGGCCGCACTGGCCAGAGCTGGGCTGATCTGAAGCCAGGAGCCAGGCACTTCTTCCCAGTCTCCCATGTGGGTTCAGGGGCCCAAGGACTTGGGCCATCTTCTACTGCTTTCCCAGGCCATAGCAGAAAGCTAGACTGGAAGTGGAGCAGCTGGGACTAGAACTGGCACCCATATGGGATGCTGGTGCTGCAGGCGGAAGATTAACCTACTTACTGTGCCATGGCGCCGGACCCCCAAATTGTATCTTAATTGCTGTGCCAAAAACTTGCCTTAACATTTAAAGAAATAATTTACTTCATAGGTAGAGAGAGAAAGAGAGGAGAAGCAGAGAAACAGAGATCTCCCATCTGCTGGTTCATTCCTCAAAAGCCATTAATAGCTGGGTCTGGGGAGGGCTGAATCCAGGAGCAGGAACTCTATCCAGGTCTCTCATGTGAGTGGCAGGAATCCAACTTGAGCCATTACCTTCAGTGTTCTAGGGAATGCATTAACAAGACACTGGAATAGGGAACAGAGCTGGGACTCAAGTCTAGGCACTTTGATATGGGATACAGGCATCGGAAGCGGTGACTTAACCACTGACAAATGCCCACCCTGACATTTTAAAAATCAGATAGACATTTTGTGATTTCCAGATTGCACAAAGGATCTTCAAAATATTTATGGCAAAATGCATATTATGAGAAAAACTACACATGGATTTAAAACTTTTTATACAAAAATGAACTTATCTTTTAATGCCATTTTCCATGAACTTTCTGAAGTATCCTCATGTATATACATCTGCTCATTTTTTTTTTTTTTAAGATTTATTTACTTAATTGAAGGGCAGAGTGACAAAGAAGGAGAGGCAGAGAGAAAGAGATCTTTTATCCGCTGGTTTACTCCCCAAATGGCTGCCACAGCCAGGGCTGGGCAGGTCAAAGTCAGAAGCCAGGAACTGGGGCATCATCTGCTGCCTTCCCAGGCACATTACCAGGAAGTTAAGATCAGAATCAGAGCAGCTGAGACTTAAACCAGCGCTCTGAAATGGGATACCAGTGTGGCAGGCAGTGGCGTAATCCACTGCACTATAACACTGTCCCTCACCCCACTCAACCTTTTGAGTTGAAGTTTCTTGCCACTTTATATCAGTTTCTAACAGAATAGTTGTTTGTTTGTTTGTTTTTTCTGTTGTTTGTTTGCATTACTCTGAAAGGTAAAGATTTACTATATCCTAAATTTGACAGCCAAGAACACAAAGTTCTTAACCTGTAACACAACAGCCCCTATTGTGTGGTGGACTTAAATACTGCATGACAAAAAATAATACACAGAGAGAGACTTTTATTAGAATAACTAGGATGAAATATCTGAATTTCTATAGGCAGACTGACAAGATGGCTTTGTGATAATCAGAAATAATTAGCTGTACTCCTCTGAGTCTCTAAAGTCCTGAGTTAGGATGCTTTAAAATTCTAATTATTTGGGCTGGTGCTGTGGTGCAGCAGGTTAAAGCCCTGGCCTGCAGCACTGGCATACCACATGGGTGCCGGTTCGAGTCCCAGCTGTTCCACTTCTGATATAGCTGTCTGCTAATGCGCCCAATTCCTTGAGCCCCTGCACCCACATGGGAGATCCAGAAGTAGCTCCTGGCTCCTGGCTTCAGATTGGCTTAGCTCCGGCCATTGCGGCCATCTGAGGAATGAACCAGCGAGCAGAAGATTTCTCTCTCTCTCTCTCTCTCTCGCCCTATCTCTGTAACTGTTTTTCAAATAAATAAAATCTTTAAATAAAATTCTAATTATTGATAAAGAAACATGATGAGACTCTGAGGCTCAACTTCTTTATCCATACATACGTAACCATGCACATGATAAGGACTTGGATTCTTCTTTTTCAAAAATGTATCTTTTGAGAGGCAGAGAGAAAGAAAAAGACAGAGATTTCCTATTGTTGGCTCACTCCTTGAATGTCTGTAATGGCCTGAAGTGAAGTGGGAACTCAATCCAGGTCTTCCATGTGGAAGCCAGGGACAGGTCCACTTAGCCCTCATTGCTGTCCCTCAGAGCCTGTGCATCCAGAAGCTGGAGTGAGGAGCCAGAACAGGGTACTGAACCAAGCCACTCTGATGTGGGACACAGGCATCTTAACCGCTTGGCCAAAAGCCCACACTGGACTGAACGGCTAAAATCAAACTGCTACCAGATATTACACCAAGGGATCTGAAGTACAGGTCAAGTCCCTCTGCATTCAAATTCAGTAAGTCCCCCTCAGGTTTATGAATTTCTAAAACACAAGAGATTCTGTTTTCAGGGGCAAATGAAACATGCAAGAAGTCTAGACTGGTAGCCTTGGGTAGCAGCATCCTATATACAGTGAGCCAACAGCTTTGTGGATGCCTGAAAACAAGACCATGTAAACATTTCCATGTTGACAAGGCCTATAAAATCTGTACTAAGTGACAGATGCATGAAGTGGCGGAGGTGGCTAGGCAATTAGGCAGCCAGGGGGAGGAAAGAGCTGGCTGCACCTCCAGGTGTTAGAACAGGCAAGAGCTGCATAGTCAATGAACAACTTTAAGAGTGACTGTTCTCCATTCTCCTGACTCCCTTAGCGCCCTTCTATTACTTTTTCTTTAAGCCTCACCCAAATTTCATTTGTAATCCAAGTTTCTCACATAAAATGAGAGAAGTATGGAGAACACAGGCACAGTTTGAATTAATCTAGATAGCACCTATTAAATGACTAAGTATCAACACTTAAACAACTCTGAAGGGAGAGATAATTAACCTAAAAAACTGGCATTAGTAAGCTCTAGAAGCTGGTAGTTTTTTTTTTTTTAAAAGATGTATTTTACTTATTTGAAAGGCAGGGTTAGAGAGAGAGAGAGAGAACGAGGTTTTCCGTCTGCTGGTTCACTCCCTAAATGGCCACAATGGTCAGAGCTGGGCCAGGCCAAAGCCAGGAGCCAGAAGCCTCATCCAGGTCTCCCATGTGGATGGCAGGGGCCGAAGCACTTGGGCCATCTTCTACCGCCTTCCCAGGTGCATCAGCAGGGAGCTGGACGGGAAGTAGAGCAGCTGGGACTTGAACTTGCACCCATATGGGAGACAGAAGTAGCAGGACGTGGCTTCACCTGCAGTGCCGGCCCCAAAGATGTAAGATTTTGCTAAAAAGTTTGCTATGTTTTGTGCGGGTATCGCCAGCAGGCTGGAGATATCCGAGATGCTTAATAAATTCTTTGCAGTATTTACAACAGTGATTCTCCTACTAGCTACTCTGCAGAAGCCAGTTGAAAAGGAATGGGAAGTCACGTGTAGTACTCACCATCTTCTGTTTCCTGCCACACGATGCCTTCAAGGTTGACACTGGTGCCAGGCTCACAGGGGCCCAAGCACTCAGGTTCTGTGGCTAGAGCCACATCACATGTGTTGACTCCAACTGATCGGGTACGAACCATGATCTGCTCACAGGGAGATGAGATGTCATTATTGACCACTGGCACCAAAAGGTGTAGTGGTAGCACCGCTGGTGTGGAGACAGGGGACTCCATCTGTAGGGGAAGAGAAAGCAGGGGCTAAGTTGAAGGAAGAACATTTAGAGGAAACACTTGTTCTGCATCTTTCTTTCTTTCTTTTTTTTTCCTTTTGGCAGGCAGCGTTAGACAGTGAGACAGAGGGAGACAGAGAGAAAGGTCTTCCTTCCGTTGGCTCACCCCCTAAATAGCCACCATGGCTGGCGCTGTGCTGATCCGAAGCCAGAAGCCAGCTGCTTCTTCCTGGTCTCCCATGCGGCTGCAGGGCTCAAGCACCTGGGCCATCCTCCACTGCCTTCCCGGGCCACAGCAAGAGCTGGACTGGAAGAGGAGCAACCGGGACAGAATCCGGTGCTCCAACCGGGACTAGAACCCGGGGTGCTGGCACCGCAGGCAGAGGACTAGCCAAGTGAGCTGCGGCACCGGCCCTGTATTTAATCTAATGCTATACCTTTCCTGCCAGAGTGTAGAGGTCTCTAAATACAAGACATCTGTCCTTTCTTTCAGGTTCTAGCTCATAACACTACTACCAATCTAGTGGTTTAATTGAGAGCATCGTGTGCTAGGGAAAGCTTTATTTCTTATTAATGATCTTCCTCATAAAGCGTGCTTAGCTAAAGCTTTTTTTTTTTTTTTTTTTGAGTCCTATTTTTCTTGTCTTATTAAAAAACCTCTAGTGAAAGAATCAGAGCCAGATTTCAATAGTAGGAAAACACACAGACTGATGAGGAAGAAAAGGCTCAGCTTGGGGCCGGTGTTAAACCATATCGGAGCGCCAGTTTGAGTCTTAGCTGCTCTGCTTCTGATCCAGCAGCATTCTAGCTAATGTGCCTAAGAAGCCAGTAGATGATGGCCAAAGTGCGTGGGCCCCTGCCACTCACACGTGGGAGACCTACATGAAATTCTGGGCTCCTGGCTTCAGCCTGGCCGTTATGGTCATTTGAGGAGCGAACTAGCAGATGAAAGGTCTCTCACTCTCTCATGCTCTGTCTTTCAAACAAATCAAATATTTTTAAAAAGAGAGATCTTCTGTCTGCTGCAGGCAACGATTCAACCCACTATGCCGCACTGCCAGCTCCAAGTAAATATTATTATTTTTTTTTTTTTTTAAGAAAAATCTCAGCTTCTGAGGCATGTCCTACTGCCACCAGTGTGCTTCTTATCAACCTAGCATTCAACAAACATGTGGGAGAGCCAGAAGAAGTTACTGACTCTTGGCTTTGGATTGGCGCAGCTCTGGCCGTTAGGGCCATCTGGGGAGTGAACCAGCGGATGGAAGCCCTGCCTCCCCTCCCCTGTAACTCTGCCTTTTAAATAAATAAATCTTTAATAAAAAAAAGAAAGTTAGTTAAACGTGGGCTGGGAATAACCTGACAGGAGTTTCTAATACTCAGATATTAGCAGTGGTTGCTTAATGAGAACAGCATTTTAGAGTATGACTGTAATATCAGAATTATCTGTAAGAAACAGGAGATGCTGTTACCATCTAGAAGCCAATTCACAACAACCCGTAGCATTCTGAAGATGTAAAAGATTACAATGTACACATATACAGAAATAGTCAAATACCAGTAATCTACCTCCAAAACTAGGTCTCCTCAAGAGTCTAATTACTTAGGTTCTAAGCAGAATGCAGCACATCGACAGACAATATAAAACTCATAACAGGAAAGGTGATGATGACAACTCATTAAATCCTAGCATTTATCAAGCTGACAAAGTACCAACTCTTGAATTTAGAGTGCCCAAACCCTAACTGAGCATACACAAAGGTACCCAAGATACACACTGACTTCCTCTGAGGACTATGGTATCGATCAGCAGAAACAGCAAATGAGAATCAAGGACTGGCAGCTGCTGCTGCTTGTGAAAGACTTCGCAGCCCAGGTTAAAAGAAGTCCTTGAATAGAGACATTCAGAAAGCCACACATAGCTTCATATTCCAAGCTGCTGGGCAGCTCTGCACTGCAACTCTGGGTCTGGTGTAATTTACCGCATAACCACCACTTTGCCTAGGATCCAGTTTCTTCCCCACAACACACTCTCACGTCTTCCTGGCCTTGAAAACTAGTTTAGAAGCCAAGGTCTGGATACTGCGTCCAATCTCTGCAGTTGGCTCTGACTTCTTGGCTTAGAAAGACACGACTATTTGCAGATCATCACTGTCAGAGACCATAGGATGCTCATGCACTAACTTGATTAAAAGTGAGCAAAACATTATCCTTATCTGCTTATACACAAAACATACACACGCTCACTCTGCACTTCGCGAACCATCTTTTTCATCAAATGAAATGGAAGTCTGTGTGATCAATCTTTTGCATATATGGTAAGTGGTAAAGAAAATGTTTTTTACTCTTGAAAATCAGGCATTTACAATATAATTTGGCAATTAATTCTTGGAATGTGATAGATCCTTGAAAGACCCTTGAAAATTTCTACACCCAGACCTGAAGGTAAAAACAACAAAGAAAAAGTAAACTGGAGCCTCCCTTCTACTCCTGGAATCTGGCTCTAATCCTTAGGCACTCTCAGGAATGCTGTAAGAAATCCTACAGGTGGGCGGGTGCTTGATGCAGTGGTTAGGATGCTGCTTGGGATGCCAACAGCCCACACTGGAGTACCTGGGTTCAAGTGCCTGGGCTCTATTTCCAACTTCAGTTTCCTGCTTGTGTGCACCCTCAGAAGCAGCAGGTGATCGCCAAAAGACTGGAGTCCCTGCCATCTACACGGGGAGACTGTATTGAGTTCTGGGCTCCTGGATTTGACTAGCTCAGCCCTGGCTCTCGCAGGCATTCGGAGAATGAACCAGCACATGGAAGATCTCCATCACCCTCCACCCCCCGTCATTCTGCCTTTCAAATACATAAATAAATCTTACCAATAAAAAGTTTTTTGAAGGGAAAAAAAAAAAAGAAATCCAGGCCAGTGCTGTGGCATAGTAAGCTAAGCCTCCACCTGTGACACCGGCATACCATATGAGCACTGGTTCCTGTTCCAGCTGCTCTTCTTCCAATCCAGCTGCCTGCTAACATGCTTAGGAAAGCAGAGGAAGATGGACCAAGTCCTTGGGCCCCTGCACCCATGTGGGAGACTGGGAAGAAGCTCCTGGCTCCTGGCTTCGGATAGGCTCAGCTCCAGCCATTACGGCCATTTGGGGAGTGAACCAGTGGATGGAAGACCTTTCTCTCTGTCTCTCCCTCTCTCTGCAACTCTCTCTCAAATAAATAAATACAATCTTAAAATGAAAGAAAAGAAATCCGGATGGGCACTGTGGCACCACATTCAGTATTAAAGTGCCTGTGATGGACTAGCACCTGTTTCAGAACCAGCTTCCTGCTAATGTGTGTACCTTCCGAGGTAACAGATGATGGTTCAAGTACCTGGTGGTCCCTGCCACCAGTGTAAGGGAACTGGATGGAGTTCCTAGCTCCTGGCTTTTGGGGAGTGAATCAGTATATGGAAGCATACCTCTTCTCTCTTTCAAATAACTAAATTTAAAAAGACATGGTTAAAAAAGATATTAAAAAAAGAAACCCTTGAGAGCTACTAGAAACATGAAATTTTTAATTTTCTAATTTTCCTCCAAGGTATACAGATCCTCTTTACTTTTATACTCACCTATGCTACTCTGTTCTTTCTCCTGGGGAAGAACTGAGACAGAAGCAATTTCACAGTCAGTATGTGCGTTTCCTTCACAGTTTGTTCCTTTTCTATACTTTTATTCTACCAGCAAGAAAAATTCCGGTAAAGCTCCCTTTGCTGGAAAGAGATCGGCCTAAAGCGGATTCCAGGTAATTTCTGTGGACTTCCTGACTGTCTCACTGGTGCATGTCCTGATGCCAACCTATTCTACAGCTGAGGCAGCTATCCCAGAAAGCAAGCATCTGTCTCTCTCAAGGCAGCTCTTTGCTGGAAGTGGTTTCCTTTCCTGGGAGGTTATTCAGGGCGCCTGGAAGGCCAGGAGAAAGGCATGCTACTACATTCCAGATAAAGTCAAGCCCCCAGCTCTGCACAAAATTCCAGAAAACAACTAAGTTGTAAGCTGGAAACACCACTGTTGTGTTCAAGCCATCTGCCATATTAAACCCTGCTATAAAACTGGAGAGATGAAACTTTAGCTGAACTGATCATTAAGAGTAACAGAAATGACTAATTACAGGAGGGGTTTATTTATTAACATGTATGCAACAAACTCTCCTGACAGACCACAGGTACCAACTGGAGGTCAGGATCTCTGTGTGAGGGTGACTTTATTTCATCACTTAGTTAATTAAAAGACATGTCCAGGGACAGAGAAGTAAAGAAATTCACCTTTGGGTTTGAAAGTATTCAGTTTCCTTCTCCTTTGCAAAAGAAATCTAGGGAAAGATCACAGAGCAGCCCAACAGTGTTTAATTACAGCACCAGCTCTGCTAATTACCATTTGGTCACATCTATAATCAACATCAAGTCATAAGGCATAATAAGCAGTTTTGTGATATTCATCTAATAACCTAGGTGGCCTTCCAGGATTTTCATAGTCTAGTATTCACTGGGACAAACATGCCAGGAGGGAATAAACCTCAGAAAAGGACTCATTTTGCCATCTTTCTCATATAACAAAGACACAGGGGCAGGGAACCCGGAGGAGGTATTTGGTGTAGTGGCTAAGATGCTGCTGCTAGGGATTCCTGCATCCCATATCAGAGAGCCTAGGTTTAGGTTCTGGCTCTGCTTTTGATTCCAGCTTCCTGCTAATGTGCGCCCTGGGAGGAACTGTGTGATGGCTCAAGTACTTGTGTTCCTGCCACCTAGGAGGGAGACTTGGACTGAGTTCCTGGCTTCTAACTTTGGCCTGGCCAAAGCTGTTACAGGGCTCTGGGGAGTAAATCAGTGAATGGAAGGTCTCTGTATTTCAAATTAATTAAAAAAATAAGTTAATGTCATTAAGTGCCTTAACAACAACGACAACAATAGTAGTTGGGCCAATTCTCAATCTCTGGGGCTCTGAAAAACAACAATAGCAACAAACAGAA